CACGAGCCCCCCGCGTGGCGCATCCCCAGGGCCGTGACCATCCCCTCGCCCCTCGCAGGGGGCCGTACCTGGGTCTGGGTGAGCCCCAGCTGGGCTGCCAGCTCGGCGCGCTCCGGCAGCGCCAGGTACTGGGTCTGCTGGAAGCGCTGGTTGAGGGCTTGCAGCTGCAGGCTGGAGTAGATGGTGCGCGGCTTGCGCAGCTTCTTCCCCTTGCCGTTGATGCGCAGCTCCCCGTTGGCGACGGCCGGGGGCTTCTCGTGCTCTTGGGGTGGGAGAGGAGCAGAGAGTTAAACCAACACGCTGGGAGGTTAAAAAAAAATAACCACAACAACCCCAAACCATCCCACCCTGGCCCTGGGGGCTGCAGCAGGTTTTGCTTTTTGGAGGTTAGTTTTGGAGGGGAGGGGGAATGAGGAGGGGGGGGACCTGCTTTTGCTGTGCTGGTGTGTTTAAGCCCCAGGTAAAGCAAAGGGGAAACAGGAGGAGGAAGGGAGGGATGGGATTATCCATTCAATATCACTATACAAGCACAAAAGCGGGCAGGCCACAGGCCCCTCTGCCGTGCACCCAATGGGGGAGCCGGGCAGGGCCCCACGGGGCGACGGAGGGGGCAGCAGGACAGACTGCCCGGCCCCGGGGGGCCCTTGCTGTGGGCACGCTGCTCCCCGGGGCTGCAGTGAGCCCCCGGGCAGCCCCTCGCTGTGAGGTCTGTGCCCCCACCCTGGACCATCTCCTCCCCGCTCCGTGCCTTTGAGCATCCCTGGGTCCTTCTCGGGCCACGTGGCTTGTACGGGGCAGAAACCCGCCGGGGCTCAGAGAGGCACCGGGGCAAGGTGTTCCCCGGCTCAGCAGCACGGGGCTGATGTGGGCGAGCGCAGGGAACGGCGGCGAGCGTGTCTGCGCATCCACGTACGCCCCGCACGCAGGCTGCTCTGGCCACAGCTACGGCTCTCCGGAGCTGATGAGGGGCCAACAGGGCCTGGGGGCTTAACTGGGCTCGGGACCCCTCTGTGGGGCAGCCCGAGGGCCGCTTCTCTCCGGGGCGGCTCAGCTGGCAGTTTCCTGCATCGGGTTTTGGGGAAAACAGTGGGGAACGGGGATGCGACGGGGCAGGGAGCTGAGATCGGAGCATGTTGGCGGTGGGGCAGAGGGGAGAGTCTGCGCGGCCCCGGTGGGCACAGGGTGCAGGATGCTGGCAGCCGGGGGGCTCAG